CAGCATTGTATGCATCTCGGACACCAATCCTGTGGTTGTACTGGTTACACTGGTAAACCGACAATCTGGAATCTCTCCTCTCCGACAGGTGCTCCGGGCTGACATCTTTGGAGAATTTGAAGGGGTGGCAATCAGGAAGACCACGGACTCTCCACCAAAGATCAGCATTTATGATCTGTTCAGCCATATTCTGAAGATCAAGCATCCGAGGAAGGCTTGGGCCGACACCTTACGGAAGCTGAATGATAACGGTGATGCTGGGACCTTCCTGTACACCCTGCACAAGTTTGGGGGGCGTGGGCAGAACGACACTCCAGTGACGGACGCCCGCGGATTTGTCACCATCCTCAACTATCTGAGTGGCGCTCGGGCCGCCCAGTTTCGCACCCGCTGTGCCGACACCATTGTGCGCTACCTGGGGGGCGACGAGACCCTCGTCTCAGAGATCCGCCGCATCAGGGAGGCACAGGAGACCATGCCCGACAACCACCCCATGAGGATGTTTGGGCAAGACGTGGAGGTTCGCAGGCCCGAGAGAGATCCCGAGGACGAAGCGCGTGCAGCAAGGCGCCGCAAGCTGGAGGACGAGCGAGAGATTGAGAGGCTCGAAATGGAGAGGGAACGGATCAGGAATGAGAGGCGGACAATGGCACTGGAATATCACAAGAGGAATACAGAGGCGAGCCTGGGGATACTGGAGAATCTGACCAGGTTGCCCCTTACCCCGGCGGAAAAGGGCCTCATCAACGGTGTACACAATACTATGGTAGTCAGGAGCGCAGCGCATGTGACTTCGACGCTGGGATCAGGTGAGTTATGCACCGTCCACTTTTTTCCCAACCTGCACAGCCCAACACCACAGCAAAGAAGATTGGTAGTACCTGCAATGCTACAAGAATGCAGGCAGAGTGGGTGGAAGTTGGGTGGGAAATTGGCGCATTTCCTCGCAGCCGAGGACGCCCCGGTGGAGGCACCTGCAGCAGCTGCGCTTTATGGAATGCGGGTGACGATCTTGGAGTACGGCCGCGACGTTCTGGGCCTTCGCGGGGAGAGGCTTTCCAGCCAGAAGCTGTCGGTGGTGGGCCGCAACGTGGGCACGCGCTGGATGCAGACCCCCGGCAAGGGCAGCCTGGTCGAGGTGGGTGGGGAGAATGGGCAGAAGAAGTGGGAGCGCACGACCGGCGTTGCTGGCACCCGCAGGGTCGAGATTCTCGACGGCCAGCTGACCACCGAGATGCTGGCAAACAACCGCATCAAGTTCTCAGACGCGTATCTGGGGACGAACGAGGTCGGGGTCGGCACGGCATTCAACGTCTGGACATATCCTAAGGCCGAGGCTGGAGAGATCATCAAGGAGGCTTTTGCTGCTTAGTATCCAATGCTTGCAGAGGAACAAACACTTGCTCTTGTGGGAATCACAGTCGAGAAGAGATTGATAAGCTTTAGAAGACCAACATGGACGCAACGTCAGGCACAAGAGGCGTCTGGCACAACCTGGTGATTTTGAGTTCCGGGTTAACCTGAGTATTCTGTGGTCGGTTGACAAAAGTCGACGTGATACGTGAGTTGCGTTAGAGGTTTAGCCGTAAAGGTTGCTTGACGGTCATCGTATGCCCAAGAATAACAATCCGGACACAAAGTGGAAAAATATGCACTGTAGGATGATGGCATGCATGTGTCGGGATTGCCATGAACACCACGACAGCAATACTCATCGGAATTGAATGCTAGACAAGCGCTCTTGCAACCAATGGTCTGTCCTGTTGCGTTTCTATATGCGAGTTCTGGTGGACAGTTGCTATTGAGATCAGTATAACAAGTGACAACGCCTGCATCATATTTTGTGCGATCGCGGTATACAAACGTTCCTTGGTCGGGCGAGATGCCAAGCGGCAAATTACTGCCATCAACGTTGCTGATGTCGTAATAGTGAAGCCCGTCGATACTCAACTGGAACTCTGCTAACGTGCATGGTGGAACACCGGTAGACATTTTGCACTCTAAAGCGCCACAATCGCCCGTCTCGCAAACAAATGTGCCATCCTTCATCGTACATTCCGTGCGGCCCCAGATTCTGCCATTCCAATCACCGTCGGTTAAAACATTGCGGCTTTCACCTGATGTAAGTTTGAAACCTGTGGTCGACGGCGTCGGGTGGCCATAAAGTCCGGGCCAGACCGTGAAAGGGCAATTGTTTGTAATAGTGAACGCAGGAACTTGAAGCGCACGGGTCAGGTATGGCAAAATGCTTACAAAGATTATCAAACGCATCATTGTTACAAACCATTCTACAAAATCTTTCGACAACGGATTGGCTGGCTGTACAGGACGTTGTGCAAGTCGAACCCCTGGGCTTATTCAATGAAAGATCGAGGAGGATTGATAAGTTACAGGACCCACGTGGATTTGGTTTTTTCAACCTATGAAAACCCTGTCGCCAGGACCCCGCATAAAAACACAAGTGTAAATAAATCAACTTGAAACTTGGGTTTCGGTATATCCAATTTGTACACTGCAGCTAGCGGCTGCAAGCAGCATGTCCAACTTGTGATGTATGTTGCAACTTTACTCCATGTACTATACAGTTTCACATATGCCACAATACTGTGAAATATGCGCAGCAGTCACGTAGTATGTCATGAACTTCTATTTGGAAGACGATCCCATCTTGCTGAGCGTCACGAAGTTCACTGTCAAGTACGCTGCGATCGTCAGCAATCAAAACAAGACAAGGATTGCGCTTCGGCGTAACAATTAATGCAAGAGCCTTGACTCCAGAATGTGTTTATTGCAAGTGGGTTGATCACATCAAGCTTTGTGCCAAACTTGGGCGGCGATGACCAATCAACCGCGTCGGCGGTCTCGAACGAAGTGCTTCCTAGAAGTTATCACCAAGCAACATACACCGGTTACCTCGAATTAATGGCAGGCTTTGACTATAAACAGCTTGAAGTGCTTCGAAATTATCACCAGTCTAAAAAGCTTGCTCTGGTGAAGTGCTTCCTAGATGTTATCGAACATCAACGACAGCCTCACATAACGTAGAATTGACAGCATTAGCGTCGGGCCATTGTGACAACTCATGCAGGTGTAGGCCGAATTACAATGCAATTTAGACAAGCCAAAAGATAACTAGAAAATGTTAACAGAAGTGTCATATCAATGATCCTCATCAGCCCAAAAGTCCAGGTCAATTTGCATATGTTTGATGACTCGAACGTAGTCTACAACCCCCTTCCAGTAGAGTTCACCTGAGGCTCGATATGGCCTCAACCTGTTGTAAAGCAGTGACTCTAGCCTCCTGCAATCTTCCGACTGAAAGGTGGAGAGCTCTAGACCACTGCCACGGTACCTCTCCTCAAGCTTCTCTAGCCTACCAGTCAACATTCCTACCTGATTCTTACATATCTCTCTACCAGCATTTTCTACTGTCTAATAATATCCTGACTGGAACTCCTCCTTTCCAAACATTCTTCGCTTTTAATACCGTTCCTCCCGGACCACGCCCGAATCGCGGGGACCTCCGCCTAACTCCTCCACCTCCACGCTGCAGAGAAGAGATTGGAATCAACGGTTGCAACGTTTTAGCAAACCAGCAGAGCTAGAAGCCACGAAATCAATTGCAATCTCTAGGAAGCATCAACTAATAACAAGATTCACTACCCACCGGCAATGTGAAATGTGGTTTCGTACCCCTCTGAGTGATACTTTCATCCAGTGGTCGTTCCTTCCCGTCCTTGCCAACAACCTTGATCGACTTTCTCCAAGTCTTGTTTCGTGGACGTCCAGCGTGCACCTCGAACTGTGGGGGAGTGTACCGGACTGTCCCACCTACAAGATGAATCGACCAGATACGTGTTTTAACGTTTTTGATCATGACCAATCAGATGCAATTGCATGCATGAACAAACTGAAAAAAAAAGCCCGATTTCTGTAGCGTCAGCGTTTGGACCTGGGTCCAGGAAGGGATTGACTTACCACACAGCGGACAATCGGGTGTGCATTTGACGCAGATGGTTTCTCCTTTAATCTGCAAAATGCCTGCTCGTCCATTGCACGAGACTTCCAACTTTTGAGTCCTGCAACATCAGACATGTACATCAGTTTGTCTGAGAGCACTGATTGCAGCATCCTTCAAGTACTCCGCTAAATATGGCAAATCTACTATACCCCCCATCTTGTGGTGTCTCCTAAGGACTTGGTTGTCGTCTTGATTATGCACAAACAGTAGAAATGAAAAAAGAAACTCTTGCAACAAGCAAAGTGCAAAAAGTTGACACAATTCTCGTACCGTGTACTATTCGTCTTCGACCCAGTTGAAACCAGCTCCGGGTTTCCACGGCTCTCCACCACCATCAATACCCCGCGCAATCGAGCAACCTGTTCCTCTCGAATAGGGTCGCTGACCAGCTTTTCTGTGGCTTTGATTATTTTTGTGCAGAGCGACTCGACCTCCTCGTTTCGAACCCCCGACGCTGAAAGGCTGGTTGCTAGCTCCACCGTTGCCCGCAATGTGTCTTCGTGCGTTTCACCCAGATATTTGTCCAGAATTTTCACACACCAATACTGGTGATGTACGGCGTCTTCGTACTTTCTAAGGCGACGAAGACACCGTCCAATCCCTTCGAGAACTACGGCCTCCTTCAGAGGCTCTGCCGCGACCTTCGAGTTTTGAAGAAGACATCTGAACATCTCTAACGCTTTGTTGTAGTCGGGTGTGATCCCAGGCTCCGGATTGTCTGTGACGAAATCCGAAGCATCCAAAACCGCCTTTGCATCTGCCATGTGTCGGTCTAACTCCGAAGGTGCCGGCTTCTGCAAGAATGACAACCATTATTGTCAGATTGCATATTCATCGCCGCTAGTTCTAAGCTGAACTTTAGCTCCTAAGCCCAGCACCTATACTGTCAGATTGCACCACTGGCTTCAGCTGCTGAAGCCCCGAAGCCCTGAAGTATTTTTGACAATCGATCCACCACGAGAATGCCAATCCTTAGCTTCTGTGCAAGGTTTGACTCACCCTTGAAGGACGAGGTGTTGGCTTAAAGTCGTCCGATGGTGATCGGGTTTGTGGTTGAGGCTGGGGCTGGGCTTGGGGCTGAGGAGGGGTTTGGGACCGAGGCTGGGGCTCCAGCTTAAGAGGGGGGGTGTGTGGCCCCTCTTGAGCAGTCTCCCCCCTCTCTGCAAATAGTGGAGCATTGCAAACACCTTTCAAGGACTGAGATGCAGAAAGGTGTTTGTATCTGCCAAGACGCGTTTTGCTGAACAAACTCTCGAATCCAGTGCGACAATCAAATAGAGTGCAACTCACTTGGTGTGGTCTTGAACCTTCCACCATTGTGCATCGTTAACACGCGTCCATGCGAAAGTGACGGTGCTGCACATTGAAGCATGCACGCTTGTGAGTCAACAGCCAGCATAAATCTCACCAGTGAGGTCAATCCTTGTCTGCTGCATGCGGCCTTGCCACGCGGGGCACACGACGCCCAAAGTCCTTGATCATATACAGCTCAATGCCATCCACATCAGTCTTGAACCATGGCGTACGCTGCTTGCGCAGTGCTTCTCGCACATCTCTTTTTGATGCGTACACTCGATTGCTTGGGTCGTATGCTCTATAGATGATATTGCCCCCTTTACGCTGCCTCCCTCCCTCTACCCTCACTTTTTCAGTTACCTGCCACCCCAGAGACTGAAGATAGATGGTTCTTGGAAGTGTTTTTACATTTATGCTTGCTCGCTTACTTGAGGTGGACGGGGCCAACTGCGTTTCAGGCTGGGCCGGGTGGGGCTCTGGCTGAGTATCTGCCTGTGCTTGAGCTGGGATCTCTGGATGCATGTGGGGCTCTGGCTGAGGCAGCTCCGGCTGCAGCTGGAGCTGCAGCTCTGGCTGGGGCTCTGGCTGGGGCGGCTCCGGCTGGGGCTCTGGCTGGCGCTCTGGCTGCGACGGCAATGCCGTGAGTTCCTGCTGGGCATCT